TTATAGAACAATTGGCAGCTGAGAGCAGATTGCTCCAAGTGAATGACAGCTCTTAATTCCAATTTGAGAAGTTAAGCGCATTAGAAGGGCATCCATCATGTGCATCAGTAAAGACAACACAGGTTAGGTCTTGAAGACTTTGACGTAAGTCACACATTCTTTCAGCCTGACTGCTCCCCATACCATCACTTTCCAGAACACATTAAACTCTCTTAGGACAAGGTAACACAGCTACTTAGAAGCTGCTCTGTAAAGATGTATTTCTAGGAAAAGAAACAAAAATGCTCTCTTCAAACCGTGCTTCAGTACTTAAGAAAGCCATCAACATCTTCCCTTGCACATCTGGCCACTTTACAAATACAAGGCTTTTACTTTCCACGTCCAGCTACATCTTGGTAGATAAACTCTGAGCTCTAAACCAACCATCTGCAAAAAAAAAAAAATCCCTTCCAGGTTTATTTATATTGCTAACAGGAAAGCTGGGCTAGGCATCAGACATGTTTCTATGCGCATTGTCTTTGGAATCTTATTTCAGCACCTGGCTGTGCGGTGGGTGGCAGCTTCTGGAAGGATCGATGGGTGTTTGCCTACTACTTTATAGGAATGGGATCTTTAGCCAAGTCAGCAGATGTAACAGAGGCCATACCACTGGGAATAACTTGAGTGCAAAAAAGCAAATCCTGCAACCTATACATCTACTTCTTCACTTGATCTTCACTTGAACTTGAAACATGCCTGTTCTACCTTGTTCATCTCCCCTTCCTGACACATGGGATATTTGTGAGATGTTAAGAAACACTAGCAATTCACAGTTCCCTTACTCTTGCATTAATTCATCTTATTTTCCATCATCATGACAAACTGTTTAAAAAATGAGTGTGCAGCACTGAACAAGAACCAAGAATTAACTCCCTAAGCAGCAGGAAAGAAAGTTAACACTTGCATCCCATGCTTAAGCATTTCCAGCCTCTGCTAGACATGTTTTTCCACACCAGTAGCACACAAGGTTTGGTTTGGTTTTTCAGATGGGGGGGGGTCCCCCCTCCACCCTTTGTTTTATTTTTAACTATCACTTCTGCCACAGTAGAAAGACTTCATTGGAGTTAGGTCCCCTGAAGAGCTCATCACTTCTTCCCAGGGAACTGCCATGTTATACATCTTACTGTGAAGGGAACATAAACATTAGCTGACAAATTTGATTTACGTGATATCATTTGTACAACAGATCCATACCTTTCCAAAGCAGAAAAGGATTTTTTTTTTTCAAGCAAGCATCATGTGAAGAAAAAGATTAGCACTGAACTAGTCCCATGTTACAGTTGGTAAAAGGACATCTATCAGACACACAGATGACAGGAAGAAACAGAGACTACAGGTAATTATCCTGTGGAATAAAAGTTAACACATATTTAATCAGCAACAGCTGTATTTGCTATTATAATTGGTTTCCCATTACAGCTGAAGCCAAAATATTACTCTCAATACTAGTGAAATGGAAACCTTGAACACCAGCTCTTAAAAAATCTGCATTAATTAAGCAAGCACCAAAACAGAACACCGGAGACAAGAGGGGAGTTGCAGTTCAGAAGGCATTAAACAAGCTCCTGATGTGTTTGCTTTAGGCAATTCCTTGAAGTACAGAAATGGACTAAGTGACCTCTTGTATCTGTTGTCTACAGGTCTAACAGCCAGGTAAGTGAATTCACTCTTTAACCATTCTGATATATTAAATCTAGATCAGTTCTGTAACTCCAAAATGCATCTTGCACAACTCCATTACCTAAAAGTTTAGAAATCATCAGCTGGGCAGGTTTCTTTTGAGAGATAATATTCTGAGGAGTTCATCTAAAACTATGCACCTGCACAATATTAAGTGCTTTTTCTAGTGTTCTAGTGTCTTAAGTACTTATTTCCATAATTGAAAGTTATCTACAAAGTATTCTAATCACAGCATGATGCAAAGCCATGTTAAGAAGGCTAAAAAGTCTTTACTGAATTTATTGATACAGAAACACTTATTAATAAAGTTTAAATTGCTTAACGCTTTTGCATGCCTCAGGCCAATTTAACTCCAGTTTCTACATATAGATTTCTCAATTTACACACTAATGATTAAAGCAGCTTGAAGTTCATTTCTTTTTGCAAATTTACCACAGTATTGAGATCTAAAAGGAACCACATACAGTTAAAGCAAAGACTACTTAGAACACAAAAGGAAACAGTCACGCAGGTAAAATTCCTAGACAGCTTACAGACTATACAAAAACAGTTATGCTACAACTACTCTTAGAAATGCATACAAAACTACAGTGCAAGTGCTTGTGCACAGGGAAAACTTATTTACAGCTCCCCTTCATTTACAGGCTATAAGCAACACTATCTCACAATTATATTACACATAAAATTTCTACTATGAGTTTGTTTGGATCTGTGGGTTTTTTTGACAAGAGGACAATCTGACAACCTAGAACATAAATTTCCTGTATATATATTTATTTATTCAACCTTATCCAGGAAAAATAGCAGTATTTTATGCATCTTATAGAAAGCTACAAAAATCTAGTAAATGTAATAAAGGCAAATATGGTGAAAAATCTGATAAAATACCTTCTACAACTTCTACAACTGGGAGTGGGATGGGGGTAAAATCAAACAGGGATAAATGAAAGATAATTCTCCCTCAACTGGTCAGCTTAAACAGGATCTCAGCAAGGTTTACTAATATGAACCTGAAGTTTAATGTCATTTTTAAAGCAACTTCTTTAAAAGAAATTTTGCAATTAACAAACTGAAGGATGACCTGGTAGCCAAAAGTAGGAGGCACCCTGTACTCCCTATACTTTGTAGGGGTATGGAAATTGTGCCAAAATACAGAAAGGCACATACCCGGTATGACAGCTATTAAGCAGAAATGCCTAACATAACAGAGGTGACAACCTTTGGGGAAGCACAGAGAAATACTATAAACAGATTCTATTAAGCCTCCATTTACCACCATATTCAGGAGTTTCATTTGTAGAAAGAAATTCAGTGTAGTTGCCAGAATTACAAGATGGGTACTTGTCTGTTTACAGGAAACCATCAGCTCAGTGGCCACAGAACTGCCCCATTTAAAATAAAGAAATAAAAATCTGAGGGAACAAGATAGCTTGGGGTACCATTTAGACCAGAAGTTGAGACTTAGGAAACCAGAGGCAAAACACAGCCTACAACTGTTACGTGCCAGCAGCCACATGACACTGTATTATCAGATAGTATTCTCAAAGATATACAAAAAGCCTATTAAGGAAGGAAGAGTTCTCCACCTGCTTAGACATACAAGACTCATCTGTTTATTTTCAAAGCCGCACAGAACTTTGAAACACTATTTATCATTAAGTTGTGCAACTCAGTACCATTAACCAAAAACCCAGCGTATTTTTGGCCAGACAGTCTTCATTCATTCCTCCTCAGAAAATGAGGAGACAGCATAAAAAAAAAAAAAGATACCAAAGTGATACCAACTTAAGTGCTTCTGATGGAGCAAAGCCTTAACATAGCTTCATTAACTGCTGAGAGTGGGTTTTTCACCCCCCTGGCTTTAAGAGTATTTCACATTAATACAAGCTCAAGGGTTTTGTTCCAGCCTTTACTCATTTAGGTGTATTTTTCAAACAGGCTGAACCAAGCAAACTTCCTCTTCTAAACATGGTATCTCCTTCCAGCACCACTACAGGAAGACTTGGGAATAAAAATCAGAATTCACATCCACAAAATTGCAGAGTGTAACGTCCTTCTTCACAAGCCTGTTAAAACATCTACTTATTTGTTGCAGGAATAAAATAACCTACCAAGTCAACCAACTTCATTCCACCTACTGTGTGTACACAAGTTGTATTCTAGCCATCTTGCTACAGCAGTGGCGCACACAGAGAGCAACACCCCAGAACTGCATCAATTTGGCTTTCTAGACTGCCTGAAGGTTCTACATACTCTCCACAAAACTACATTTGGCTGATCTACCAGGACGCAAGCCACTCCGCTCAGGCTAGCGCTCCACACTTCACTCTGTTCAGCCCTGCAGACGTAAGTTATCTCACCTAACAGCAAAATCTGCAGGCTGCTTTCACAGTCAGTTTTCACAAACTCATTGCTCCGCATCTCCTCTCTACCCTCTTCCCCATTCAGAATTACTCTGTAAACTTTTCCAGAGACAACAGTCACAACCCTGACTACCCTAGCATCCTGTCAAAGTTAATCAGCTTTGCAATTCTTCACTTGCCTCCATCACTAAAAAAAACCCAAAAACACACTACTACAAAACCAACAACCTTGCATCTCAGACTAATTCACTAGCACAGGTGTTTCCCATTAAAACCAATATTCTGTAAAACACTTTTACTGAAAAATGATAATATAGTTTATAAGCAAAACTGAGACCAACCAAAGGGGAGCTGATGTTTTCCTTCTCATTCAAAACCTGGATGCCACAAGGGTAACACCAAAAATTTTCCTTTCTGTAAAAGTTGTGCTTTTTCAGATTACTGGAAGAAACAAGATTTGCCAGGTCAGTTTTTACCAATAATTTTCATCCTCCATTAAACACACACCACGGTAAACACATGGCAGGTTTAGTGGGAGAGAGTACAGACAGCAAAAGTCTTTGGGGAACTGCTTAAGAATATTTAAAAACTGCGATTCGGTAGAGTAGCCATGAGATTTTTAGAATACCTCTGTGCAGTTTGTTTCAGGGAATTAAGTCCTCCTTTCCATAAGCAGCTGAGCATTTCACCAACTTGCTTCCTAAGGAATCCCTGCTGTAGGATAAGACTATAGCACACAACTGAGAAAAAAGAAGAAACTCAAAAAAGCTATAATGTTTAAGTATACAGCAGCCACATTCCCCAGCTAGCCTACTGCCGTGGGTGGTCATATTAGCAGGCAAGCAAGTGGTAGACATTTGTCAAGCCCTAAGTAGTACTTTATTTTCTGCCTACTTCCCACTTTCTAGACAAAAGAAATTACTTTTCCCTGTAATAAAGCAGGTAATACTTCAAGGGATCAGGCAAAGGCAGACTCAAGACCTTTTCCCTCAAAAAGTTTACAGGGGGATCTGGCTTTAGTTCAGAGGGTTTAGTTTCTTCCTCTTCTCGTCTCTCATCCTCGATATCCTCACTGTTGTTGTTATCATCTGATGGGTTGGAGATACGACTAGCGAAGACCTCTTTGTCCAAGAAAACAATAGTTTCCATGCGACGGCGACGCACCCGTCTTCGTTTAAATCTTGGGGGGTTCTTCAGCCCATTTCCATTTTTGCCCATTGTTTCTTGATGTATAATTTTTTTAATGGTTCCTCGGATGGCTATGCGAGCCAGATCCTGGAGGCTGCGAACAGCCACTGGGGCTAAAACAAAATGAAAACCATGAACACATATGGAGAAACCCCCCTTCAAGAGTACTCATAGGAAAAGTTGTATTTGCTCAAATTAAATCAGGCCACTTGAATTCCCTGCTGTGATTACAAAAACAGCTCTATTCAACTCCTGTCAACTCAGATAAGCTGTATTGTAACTTTCCAAACAAAAAATGTAATTATGCATTTCTCTCATTAACTGAAGAAAAAGAATGGGATGAAAGAAGAGTTTCATATTTTGATGTCATGTCCTCACAATTATTTTAAGATACACATGCCTTAAAGATTAGAAGAATGCAGACTTAGTGACTGAAACTGTGACTGTTGAATAACTCAGAAAAAGATGTTTTCCTACAGTAGGTAACTAGACCTAAGTCTATTTAACTCTTCCATAAAATTATTTTTGTATTGTGAAGAAGTTACTTTGCCAAGTTCTTCACTTATAAAACATGAGTACTATTCATGCTCTTCAAAAACTGCTTCAGATTTAGTGGGTGAAGACAGGCTGGAAACCATTTGGTAAAAGTAATTATAGAAGCATACAATAAGTTATTGTATTAAAATACCTCCCACATTAATGGTTTGGAAGACTGTTCTGTCTTCTACGTTTATTTGCTGCCAGCCCCTATATGCACAACATAACTCATGCAGCATAAAGAAAAAAAAAAAAGTATTGATGCACACACATCCATGTACTAAACTGAATTAAACCCAAAACAAAAAACCCTGTCTTCTACTGACAAGTAAGCATTCCTGTGACCTGAATGAAAGAACCAGAAAAAAAAAAAAATCACATGTAATATATATGCAGGTCTTGCCACAAAGCCACCAAAGTATGCTGAAATATGCACTTAATGGACTTTATAGCACTGTATGGACTGCTTACTGAGCTGCTTTTTGTCATGGAAAGACAACTTTCCAGAATAAGAACAAAGCCTGACTAATCTCTTTATGGAAGTATCTCTGTCTTCACGTGTTCTTAAGAGGCCCCTCTACACTGAAGTTTTAATCTGAAGATTAAGGTCACTGCATACAACCTGCATTTCAAACAATTAACCAAGAATTGCAAAACTTTTATCCCTCAAGCATTCCAGGTTCAAGATAATTCTGAATCGCTGGGTGATGAGAGCCTTTGAGTACATCTAATGTTTGTTCACAGGTTCAGCTTGTGTATTTTCCATCACCATGGCACAGTGACTGAGAACCATGACAGTACATAATTCAGGATTGAAACAGATGTCTGCATGTGCAAAAACAAAAACCAAACATCCCACAAAGTTTAGGTACAATTTCACAAAAGATCATTTGTAGTTAGAATCTATTTTATACAGTTCTGATTCTTGCACCAGGCCTCCGTAAACATCCCCAAAGATAGACTGTGATCCAACGCAAGACTTGGACAACTGTTCAAAGGAGGAAGTAGTTGGAGTAACTTTCCTTGAAAGGATTCACAGGGATGCTACATCTCAGGAAGTAAGGTGCAGTTTACAGACAAATAGCAGAAGAAACCTCCCCCATACACAAGAATGTCTGTACTCACGCAAGTGAACAAGCCTTGATTTTCCTGAATCTGCGTGGTTAGGCTGAACCAAAGGAGCAAAAGAAACAGCAAGAATCTTCTTGGTCTCCCAGGCAGAAGGACCAGTACGAGTTATCTTAGTCAACTAAACCAAAACAAGGAGATTATTGTCCATTGTGTGAACTACAGTAAGATTTTTGAACAAAAAGTGAACAAACAACTTTTCTGCTCAGAGAAGTGGCTAAAGTACTAGAAGCTACAACAGTAGAAGTTAGGTAATAAGAAGAAACACTGGGGTTTTTTTGAGAAAATTCAGAACTCCTTATAGGATTAGCCCCAAGTAACTTCCTCTGTTGCAACAGTATGGGCACTGGCAGTTTAAGTCACCCTGCCTTCCCAAATGTTCCTCAATTCTGAACCAGAACAGCTATGTCTGACCACTGAGAAAACATGTCACTCACTGATCAACGTTCACTCTTGAAGGAAGTCTGCAGATCACTGGATTTCTGTTGCAGCTCAAATCTCTTAGACTATCTCAATGCACAGCATCTTACTAGGAAGAAACCCTGCACTCCGCTCATCTGAACCACCCTGATAGAGCTAAAAGGTCAGATACCTACCCCTCAGCCATACAAGCCCATTAAAACAACACACCAAAAAGACAATCTGAATTACAATCTTGAGCTCACACACAGGGCAGTTACCCATATTTTACTAAAAAGAATCCACTGACACCTGTAAATAGGGACCATGTGCACACGCTTTCATAAGCTAGTTAGGGTGCAAAAAAATTTGTATTTTACCGTAAGTACAACACTAGGTTATATAACTTGAACAAAGCCTTGACTACATTTTCTCTGCAGCTTGAAAGCAAATTTGTAATTAACAACAACAGATCAGAATATGTGAAAGACTGGCAGCACTCTGAATTTCTTAAATATTATGAAGAGTGCAGAGTTCAGTTTCCACTCATAGTGACAAGTGTTGCATTTTTTGGTTTCTCCAATCTGCTACAAGAAGGGCAAACTAACGGAAGAGCTAAACCAGACTAAACCGAGATCAGAATTAGGAATAACTGAAAGCGAAGTATGAGTAGAAAGGCACTCAACCTTCTCTTCTAGAGGCATGACAAGAATTCCCCCAACTTTCAACAGATTCTTCATGTAGTCTTCATGTTCCTTCTGTACTCCAGCACCACAGTAAACACGGTCATACTGAGTACAGTCCGGAGAAATCTCTAAACAATTGCCGGTAACAAAAGATGGCTCACAAAATTCAAATCTGAAAATGAAGACATGTATCATACAAGAACATTACAATTTATCAAATTAATTATTTTCATGATCCTGAAAAAATGAAACCATGCAAAATACTTTAAAAGAGCAGTTTCATAGGATTTCTTCTCTGAAGCCTGTATATTCTGGACATTACTGGAACAGACCACAGCCTGAAGTCTCAAAACCACAGAACAGTAAGATGAGAATTCATAGATTAAAATCTCCAAAGGATAAGAATGCATAATCTCATACTTGAATTACATGTAACTCTTCAGAACAAGCTATTTTTAGTGACCTGATGCTGACTCAGTTATAATATGCAAACATAAATATAAGACCCGCAATTCCAAATATTGAAGTCTTTTGAGGACTGCACCAGGGTTTTTTTGGCATTTTCAAATGCTTTTAAATGGTTTTCAGATGTTGTGGGGAACTATAACCTAATGCTTCAGAATTATGCTTTCCTGAAGCTACTGGAAGTTTTGCCATTAGCTTCAAATAACTGCGATTTCACCCTTCATAAAAAGAATGTTTGCGCCTATAGCATTTCTGATTCAGTTCAGAAGCAAAATGAATGATTCTATAGTGTTTCTGGTTTTCTTACATGCTCCAAATCTACACAAGCTTTAAGCCCCACATTTAAGGGCTGATTTTGATAGAAGTTGTACAACATACCCATTCTTCTACTTGTACCTTTAGAGGAAGCTCAATATAGCACCTATTTATTCCTAAACACTTCCTGAAGCTTTCTGCTTTTGCAAAGCGTGCTAGACAGTCAGAGCAGCCAACTAACAGTTCCTGCACACGGTGTTCTAACAGCATAACCCAGCAGCCATTTCTCTCAGCAATGCCAGTTTTCCAGTCATGTTGATTTCTGAATTCAGCTCACTTTTACTTCATAGCTGTATTTTTCTGGAGAGAAAAAAAGTCTTCCTTAGAACACCTATTCAAACAATAGCACTGTAACTGTGGAGAAAAAACCCCCAGCCATCTATGTGCAAACACCTTCCATGCCAAAAACTTTCAGTCTGCTGCCAGCTTCAAGAAAATACAGCCCTCTCATCAGCAGCTTTCCAGTACAACAGTAACAACACAAGGATGAGTAGTTTAAATTCCAGCATGTAATGACTTTGATTTTCTTCCTCCCACAAGAGGAGGACTATCAGGTATCCAGAGATGCTTTACTTCCCTGTTTGAACAAACAGGGATGGATCCAAAAATATGACAGCTACAACTTTTATTGCTGAGGTTACTATTGGCAATAGTTATCTTGCTGGAAAGTTATTACTTGTGACAGCAACGGAACAGAGGTTCTAAGGAAGAACATAAATCAGATCCCAAGCAGTTTTAGTACCAGTTTAATCATCATAAAACTACCTTCATATTTTAAAATGCCATTTTTTCTTCTTCTCAGATAAAACATGTTAGGCCACCACAAAAATCACTTCATATTCTTCTGATAACGTTTGTGAGCTGAGAGCACGCATGGTTAAGTATTAGTTATTTTCAAGTTTCAAGTTGTTACCTGCAAGTATATTTTAAAGTAAGTAACCTTCTTCAGCTTCCTCTAAGCTCTGCAACAGCAGCACTGCTATTAAAAACACTGCAAACATTTCTGAAACTCCCCCACAATACACATCAGCTTCGAAGGTCACACACTGCAGCTCAGCAACCCTAAGAGGCCAGAATCCTCAGATTACCCTGGATCCAGAGCTGCCACATGAGAGCAAGAACTGCTATGACTAAAGCCAAATGCACAAAATTAATCCAAACAGGCATTCCACATTCTTACTTGTCAAAGCTGTCACTTGTTTTAATGAAGAAGTCCAATTTCTGCTTTGCATATTCGATCACGTCAGAATGAAGCTCCACACCATGGTTAACACCAAAAGGACCTGCAAATTTAGAACACTAGGATAATGGTAACAGGTAATAACAGAAAACCCAGCAGGATTGAACAGAGTTTTGGTCATTTCTTATAACAGATTGCTGCTCGAGTGCCAGTCAGTGCTTCTGTAGGGTCAGCTATCTTAGTACTACAGTTAGAACTGCAACCCTGTACCTGCAATTTCTTACAGCAAATGACGCTGTTCTGCACAATTAATTTTGAATCATTTGCTCTTAACTATGCAGGAAATTCCTCTGTAAGAGGGAAACACTGATACTGAAGAAATACTATGACTGTAGAAGCGACCACCTGGAAAAAATTCCAATGCAGAACAACAGCCTGCATGTTTAAATCACTCAAAAAAAATCTTTGTATTATTTTTATATCCTCTTGCTGTTATGCTAGACATCTCCTCAAAATAATCAGGAATAGTCACCATATATTGTACCTCAATTAACAGCAAAAATAAATTAGGAAATAGAGATGCTGTTTAGCACTCATGCTTTTTATTCAGAACTGACTTGGTAAATTTCCCAAAAATTCAAAAGAATTCAAAAGCTCTGGAGTTATGTATTGGTATCCTAGGCAATCTCAACAAATCTAGCAGAAGACCACAAACATGAGTCTATGAAAAGCCATGGGAGACAGGAGTGAGGCTCTATCCTGACAACAAACATTTCAGCAGTTAAAATTCTCGACACCCCCACTAAAGGAAAATACGTACCCTACAGATTTTGCTATCTATCCTGGCAGCCAGAAGCCCAGTTGTTGACTGAAACACGTTAGGGCGAACTGCAATTGTATAATTGCACTTTGATGCTTTGATTTGTGCCTACTGCAGATGTGGTCACAAAGTCAATTCTGATGCACTGCTTTCCAGAGACCATTCCCATCTGTACATTGGCAAGAGTCAAAACTGGATCTCCAACATGTTTCAGTCTAGACAGGACAGTGTAAAAACAAGCGAGGCACAGAACAGCTATAGTCACAGGTTTCTGCAGACATGCTCAATCCTAGTTTAAACATGGCACTCCTGCTCCCAAGCTGGGTTCCTGCTTATGGAGCAACAAAGCCAAGTTTGTGTCCAGTCCTGCAGGAATCCACTACAGCCACCTGCACAATTACATCGCTGCCTGTTCTGAACTGCCACAGAAATCTGGACTCCATCCAGTTCCTGAGAGAAGGCTGGAAGAATCTTGACAAATTGGCCAATTGGATTAATGCATTCTTTACTTTCCTAGCTATCTATTAGTTTCATTACTTGAGGAATGCTTCATTCCCAATTTCAAAACTTTTTTTTTTTAATCTAACAAATAGCTAACATGATTGAAAAGGTATTTACCCAAGATGAGTCCAACCATAGAACTCAGATAACCAGTGCCACTGCCAAGATTCAAAAATGACAGCCCTGGTTGCAGATCCAAAGCTTCCATCACCTCAGAGTAAATGCACGGTGCCGAGAGATGAATATTTCCATGTTTCCATGCCAAGTCCTTGTAGGCATTGTCTTTGAACTCTTCCAGGTAGTAATCTGCTCGATCAATGGCTCGGAACGCCTGTTCTACCAGTTCTGTCCGGATGTATTGTGCCTCCTTCAAGTTATCAATTAATTCATCATTGTCTTCTCCTGCACTCACTGCACCTCCCATCTTCAACAGTTTTCTATAAGCACTAAAACTAAAAGCATAATAAAGGCAGGTGAGGTATACAGCATGCACTTGAACACTAAATTATGCTGCTGTATATTAAGCACTTAAGAGAGATCTTTAGGTACTTTAAGGAAAATAAGCAGCAGAAAAACACTATCACATAATGATAACAGTAACACATAAAAACCACCACCATCCCCCAATCAAACAATGAAACCCAAAATGCAGCAGATCTGGCATGTAGTACCTGACACTAGCGGGGAAGATCACAATAGACAATTTAAACGTGCAATGCCTGTCTTCAAACACTACCCACATTTTACTGGCATGTCAGCTTTTCCACTGAATCCTTTTATATAAAGGATTATTCTAGCTCCTATGCTTATAGGTCATTTTTCATTGCAAATCTAACCAACAGTATAAGTTTGGCTTGCCTATCAGAATTCTTGCCACACACAGACTTTCTATCTCTGATAATATCAAGGGGAAACTAAAAGACTAAGACACAAGCAGCAAGAACCAGAAAAATCTCAAATTACATGTTCTTTGAACATGAATCAGGATGCTGATTTCACAGAGGTTAAAAGAGTACCTCTGACACAGAGTTCAAGCTTACTTACTTTAGCAAATGCACTTTCACACAGCTCATCTTTAGACCTTGAGCCACCATCATCAGTAAAGCACTTGATACAGACAGCAACTGCACAAAGAATCTTCACTGAAGCCTGTGGAATTTCTTAGGTCCTCTTAAGTCCTAGATGAGCTAACCCCCAATTTGGAAACTCTTGAGTGACACAGATTTATGAATTACAAACACTTTTGACTTCACCAATGTGATAATCTCCAGCAACCTATTCAGGCTTCTTGGTGTGAAGGACAGAAAAGCAAGCACCTTCCTTGACTGTGCATTACACTAAGCATGGATATACACTTCATGTAGTAAAATATCTATAGTTTTTAAGGAAAAAGGTATAGGGGAAGAAGAACTTATCACTCAAAATTGATCTAGCTTTTCCTCCCTACCCATATCTTAAAAAAAAAAAGATTTTCAGAAAATACAACATGATTTTTTTTAAGGCATTTATTTACAATGCCTTACTCTGCTCACAATAATAACTACAGAAGCAGCAGCTTTAGAATTCATTCCTGGGATCAGAAGATCTGCCTACAGCTAAATTGTTGGGGTTTATTTGTTACATTCAGCAAGAACAAATTACACACTTTCAGTTTCAGAGGAAACAAAGAAAAGCTACAGGAGTCTAAGGAAATTTCACAGTTCCTCAAATAACATGCCATCCTGATTACCTGTAGAGACACGCAAAATGGGATGTACTTCAGCAGGGAACTCGAGCCAGATTTTAATACATTCATGTCTCAAACGCTTCAATCCAGTTCCAGACCATTAATAAAACTTAAAAAAATGCCACCCCTCTCCTTTCTATAGTTTCTCCTTCATTTTCTATACAAAAAATGATTGTGTTTTATTACTTCACAATGGAAACACATCAAGTTGAAGGCTTAGGTGAGTTCATCAGCCAATCTGAATTCCCCCCCCCCCTCCTCTTACATACACAACAACTCACTACATCTGCATACATAAGCTTGCTTGTATCTTTGGTCAGTATGGTTTATATAACATTCCGCATTAAGATACTCTCTTCCCTGAGGGTGCGGATTCCCTTGATTTTCTTTTGTGTATTTTATTCTCAGGCTTGCTTCCTTCTTCCATTTAAGCTCTTTTTGCTCTTAAAAATCTACATTTTTAGATTTAATGTATGAATAAAAAGTTGTGGCTTTAACAGTGTTCCACTTTGGATCCCAAACAAATTCTTTCTGATGTACGCAAGCCCCACTGGGACAACTGGTCCAACCTGGTTTTAGCTCAGCTATATGGTCAACAACTGTTCTTCCATGTTCTACAACATAGAAAACATTTTTCTAATGAAATCAAGGAATATCCAAGTTGTGACAGGTGTCAGTTACTTCTGAAATGGTTACTTTTACTGGATACTAGCTTACTTCCAATAAAATGCCTGTTTTATATGCAGAACATAGAACTTGGACATTTTAAATCTTCTTCGGATAATTCCACATCTTTGTTCAACTTTGTTTCCCTTCTCTCATCTTCTCCCATTCTCTCAAGTGGGAGCCAAGACTATAAGTAGGACTTATTTTTAACAAACCTTTTAAAATAAGATCCTCTCCTTCCACAATTAGTACAATTACACTTTTCACACTTCTAGGTAAAACACAGATTTCCACAAATCTGAGCAAGCATGAAAATCACATGCAAAAATTATGATCATTAGCAGATCACAACACGGGTATTAAACCAAGCTGCCCTTTTAGTGTTAAAATATCCCTTCAACTGCATGTTGCCATCTTCCCCACTAAGAAAAACAAAACAGAAAAACAAACAAGCAGAAAAACACCAAAAAAAAATCTGACATGAGAAGCTGCATTCAGATGCCTGAAACAAAACACTGAAATTAAAGCAATTTCTTCCAAGGCAAACACCAGCAGATGCACAGGGGAAGACTCAAAACAATACACAAGGCACAAAAATGCAATTCTTCATCCCAACACGTTTCCAGGATAATCCCTGCTCTGACATAAGATGCTCCAGAAGAAATAACAAAAGTGAGGCTGTTTACCATAAAAAGTAAAATAAGAAGTTACAGTTGGCACAGCTTTTGATCCAAACCCCTCAAATCCTCTCAAATAACAAATCAAAAAGCCCCACGCCGTATGGCTCAATCACTACCTGCGTTATCAGGCTGCTGCCGAGGGAAGCGATGGAGAGTGGGAGGGAGGCCTACGAAAGCCTGACGGCGATTCCCTCCACACACACCCCCCACACACCCCCGCTTTAATTACACCCGGGTAGCCCCGGTCTCC